ACGACAAGAGACGATACTCGCCTACGACTCCGGTGGTGGGACTACCAACTTCATCGAGGCGACGATGAGGTCTGACAAGACATCGAGATGGCGGTGGTCGCAGCAACACGAGTGTACCATCCAGGACGAAGGACGGCCGGCCGGCCGGACCGCACCAAAATTAGTTTTTCACCGTTGCCCAATTCAAGCGTTCAGTGGTCGGACAAGGGCTATTGGCTAAGCAAGCACACGACGTCCATCCGTGGCAGTCGTGGCTGCGTCCAACTACGGCAGTTCCTCGGTTGACTGTTCTTGCGTTGGCGGGCCACTAACGGCCCAGAATTACCCCGAGACCCCGCAAAATTTATTCGGAAGTTTAGAATGAAAGGTTTGAGAGCGAGCACTTTAGTGGAAACAAGTGGGTTACTGGCGAGTGCCGTATTGACATTTGAGGTGGATGGCAAGCCGGTGGATATGGTCAAGGCTCTTGGATCGATGGAGCAGTGGGACGACTTAAGCGCGGCAATCCAATCCGGTTGCAAGCTTCTCTCGGACGTGCCGGACGTGGTAATAGGGTTGCCCGGCGTTGATCACGTTGATTTGTCTACTGAAAAGTTGGACGCGCTGCACAAGGAACTTCAGACAAATAAGCAGTTGTTTACGAGGACTACCGAGGCAGTGAGCCGCTGCCTTTTTGCGATCGCTGAAGTGATTCGAGTACACCCAAAGACGTGTGGGGTTCCGAAAGGGCAGCAGGATACCATCCTTGCGTGGGTGGCTGGGTTCCAGCAGCGAGCGCAGGAAGTGGAACCATCGGGATCGGGATCGAGATACTTTCCGTATGCTCCAACAAGTGCCACTCGAATTCAAGACCTCAAGTTCTTCCTGATCGAACATTATCGCTTCTTCGGGACAGACGCGGCACGCCTCAACCACGTCACTGTACCAACACTCCAGCCGTGCAATCCAGAGGCGGTTTTGGCCGGCACGTGGGAAGAAACTAAAACATGTCTGGATCGCCAATCCCTCTGCCCCCAGCAGGAAGGTTGGGTACGCGCTGAAGCGGTTCCATGGGATGTGTACAAAGAGAAAATGGGATACCTGTACACCGAAGCGAAGAAAGCGCCTGTTGATGGCGAGAAGGGTGCTGAGAAGGATCAGGAAAGGGTGGACGAGGAACCGGAGCAGATGGAGAAGAGGGTGGCCGAGTTCCGGAAGATTCTGGAGGACTATTCGGCTGAGGCTTTTTGCGTGGGTGGGCAAGTGCCGTTGCGGAAGAAGTTTTCGAAGATCGTGTGCTGGCCGGCTGTAGCTGAGGTTGCAGCTAAGTCCCCGGCAACCGAGGGCCATTCAAGTCCATTGGTGATAAACCTGCTAGAATGCACAGAGAAGGTGCTGGCGGGGCTGCAGTCAGCGGGGTCGCCATCGCCATTCGGGCGCGGGTCGGAGAAAGTGTTCGACGAACGTGTGCGCAAGGCCGTTGAGTTCCCGGCGGAACGGATGGCGTCGCAGTTTGTACCGGTCTTCAACGCGGAGTTCTGCAGCAGGATCCAACGGCTACTGGGTGGCCGCAGTTTCTTCCTCCAGCCACACAAACTGAACGTATACGGCGAAGGCGCACACTTCGCCAAGCACAAGGACACCATCCGTGACCCGCGCATGGTCGCCTCAGTCGTCGTC